CAAAGGGTATATAACAAAGTATTGAGAAACTTTTGTTATTGACCAAATACTTATTTTCCACCATAATTTGCAAATAAATTCATTAAAAATCCTACAATGTGATTTTCTGGATTTTCTTTTCTCATTTTGTCTGTCATAGTTGACGTGTACCTATGATGAAAATTACAGGCCTCTCTCATCTTTTTAAGTGGGAGAACTTGCACAATTGGTGGCTGACTAAATACTTTTTTCCCCCACTGAATTCATTGGGTGTTGTGCGTTCTTGTAAATTCATTACTTATTCTGCACTCTGGCGCACTCAGACTAGAGTGTTCTGAAATCGTAGGAGATAGCCAGAGTGAATTTACGAGCGCACCCTTAGTGGCGATGCACATAAAGTATTTAAACAGCGTCTATACTGAACAGAAATATAAACGCAACATGCAACAATTCCAACGATTTTACTGAGTTACAGTTCATATAAGGAAATCAGTCAATTGAAATAAATTCATTAGGCCCTAATCTATGGACTTCACATGACTGGGAAGGGGTGCAGCCATGGGTGGGTCTGGGAGGCCACCCACTGAGGAGCCAGGCCCAGCCAATCAGAATGAGTTTTTCCCCACAAAAGAGCTTTATTACAGAGAGAAATACTCCTCAGTTTCGTCAGCTGTCTGGGTGGCTGGTCTCAGACGATCCCGCAGGTGAAGAAGCTGGATGTGGAGGTCCTGGGCTGGCGTGTTTACTCGTGGCCTGCGGATGTGAGGCCGGTTGGTCGTACTGCCAAATTCTCTAAAACGATGTTGGAGGCAGTTTATGGTAGAGAAATTACCATTCAATTATCTGGGAATTGCACACTCCCTCAAAACATCGGTGGCATTGTGTTGTGTGACAAAACTGCACATTGTGCTGGCCTTTTATTGTCCCCAGCACAAGGTGCACCTGTGTAATGATCATGCTGTTTCATCAGCTTCTTGATACAGTGAGGGAAAAAAGTATTTGATCCCCTGCTGATTTTGTATGTTTACCCACTGACAAAGACATGATCAGTCTATACTTTTAATGGTAGGTTTATTTGAACAGTGAGAGACAGAATAACAACAAAACAATCCAGAAAAACGCATGTCAAAAATGTTATAAATTGATTTGCATTTTCATTAGGGAAATAAGTATTTGACCCCTCTGCAAAACATGACTTAGTACTTGGTGGCAAAACCCTTGTTGGCAATCACAGAGGTCAGACGTTTCTTGTAGTTGGCCACCAGGTTTGCACACATCTCAGGAGGGATTTTGTCCCACTCCTCTTTGCAGATCTTCTCCAAGTCATTAAGGTGTCGAGGCTGACGTTTGGCAACTCGAACCTTCAGCTCCCTCCACAGATTTTCTATGGGATTAAGGTCTGGAGACTGGCTAGGCCACTCCAGGACCTTAATGTGCTTCTTCTTGAGCCACTCCTTTGTTGCCTTGGCCATGTGTTTTGGGTCATTGTCATGCTGGAATACCCATCCACGACCCATTTTCAATGCCCTGGCTGAGGGAAGGAGGTTCTCACCCAAGATTTGACGGTACATGGTCCCTTTGATGCAGTGAAGTTGTCCTGTCCCGATAGCAGAAAAACACCCCCAAAGCATAATGTTTCCACCTCCATGTTTGACGGTGGGGATGGTGTTCTTGGGGTCATAGGCAGCATTCCTCCTCCTCCAAACACGGCGAGTTGAGTTAATGCCAAATAGCTCGATTTTGGTCTCATCTGACCACAACACTTTCACCGAGTTCTCCTCTGAACCATTCAGATGTTCATTGGCAAACTTCAGACAGGCCTGTACATGTGCTTTCTTGAGCAGGGGGACCTTGCGGGCGCTGCAGGAATTTAGTCCTTCACGGCGTAGTGTGTTAACAATTGTTTTCTTGGTGACTATGGTACCAGCTGCCTTGAGATCATTGACAAGATCCTCCCGTGTAGTTCTGGGCTGATTCCTCACCGTTCTCATGATCATTGCAACTCCACGAGGTGAGATCTTGCATGGAGCCCCAGGCTGAGGGAGATTGACAGTTATTTTGTGTTTCTTCCATTTACGAATAATCGCACCAACTGTTGTCACCTTCTCACCAAGCTGCTTGGCGATGGTCTTGTAGCCCATCCCAGCCTTGTGTAGGTCTACAATCTTGTCCCTGACATCCTTGGAGAGCTCTTTGGTCTTGGTCATGGTGGAGAGTTTGGAATCTGATTGATTGATTTCTTCTGTGGACAGGTGTCTTTTATACAGGTAACAAACTGAGATTAGGAGCACTCCCTTTAAGAGTGTGCTCCTAATCTCAGGTCGTTGCCTGTATAAAAGACACCTGGGAGCCAGAAATCTTTCAGATTGAGAGGGGGTCAAATACTTTTTTCCCCTCACTGTATGCCACACCTGTCAGGTGGGTGGATTATCTTGGCAAAGGAGAAATGCTCACAAACATGAATGTAAAAAAGAATTGATAGATTTTGTGCATATGGAACATTTCTGGGATCTTTTATTTCACCTCATGAAACATGGGACCAACACTTTACATGTTGCATTTATATTTTTGTTCAGAATATGTGGTGAAAAAAGGCTCAAACACTGTTCTATTGATGTCCTATTTTTTTCCCTGTATGGCTCCTGTCAGAGGTCAAAATCAAGCAGCATGCTGTGGAATCAGGCGTTACTGTTTGTGTCACATTGATGCATTACTAAACACGGAAGGTCATGTCTCTGTAAACTTACATTATCAAAACCCAAAGAAGAAACGTGTGATGTTGACCCCACCAACAGTTATCCCTGTATCTTTGGGAAAGGGTAGTGAAAAGACAACTTTGTAGCAGCGATGACTCTCAAGCAGTCAAGATTGGCTGGGGTTGTGTCAACAGCATTCTCTTACGCTGTCTGAAATTATCAATGAGCTCAAATAAAACGATCACAAGCTAAAATAGGATTGCTAATGAACATTGACTGTTTTAACGTGTACTTCTAAAATGTCCAACGGTGACAGGTGAATTGGAACAGGGGCAAGGTTGGTTATTAAACCAGCAAACTAACACGCCCAATACCTCATTTCAACAAAGTGGGGGCCGTGGTTTTACCGGTTTTTGTGTAAAATTTAGTGACATGCAATACACATTTCTACGGATTAATGTATGAAAATCTCCCCACTTCAAGATCTTACATGTGTAAGTGATTGTACTTACTATCACTCAACCTTTATAAACCATAAGAAAGTATCAATAGAAGCATAAACAAAATCTCTACATGATGATATCCACCAGTTAAACCTTTAATCAATATCATGGTCAAATTCTGAAATTTGCAAGCACTTTAAGGCACTTGGGTACAGTAGTACATATTTTCTCCTTTTAAGCAATGCATAGATAAAAAAAATTTATCCAGAGCGACTTACAATTAGTGAGTGCATACATTTTTCATACTGGCCCCCCGTGGGAAACGAACCCACAACCCTGGCGTTGCAAGCGCCATACTCTACCAACTGAGCTACAGGGGGGGGCAATAAGTAAGCACTTATGATTGTACCATTACTATGTAAACGTGGTTAGCCCCATATTGTGCTTGGAAAACCTATTCAATACTGGTATAAAACAAACTAGTATACAACAGTGACAAGGTGGAGAATTACTTAGAAAATCCCATTCTACGGATGTTCAACTCAAAACTGCTTAGCTGTTCTTGCATTTTATGTATAGATCTGTTAATAAACATGAACGTAATGGAAAACAGGGTTATTTCGGTGCGAGGTTGTTTTACTATCTTGAAATGCACATTGCTACCATTATTCTGATAATAAAATAATCTCTTTAAGAGCACACTGCTAACCATTAAGTTTCTAAACAAAATCATGCTCCAGCATGAATCCATGTGTTGAAAATACATATTCGACCTTTAAAATCCTATGATAACCAATAGAATCCTGGTAACTATCCTGGTTAAAGATGCTGTACCGACGTAATGCCTGCGTTGGACCTAGAGATCTCGGATCGTCGCAACATTTCACTAGGATCTTGATTCCTGAATATGAAAAAGGATATCTGACAGAGGACACTATTTGTAGCCAGGTTCTTGCCAGATCTTTATTAAAAGGACACTACAGGATCTTGCAGTTTTCTCAGTAACATTTATAACAGGGACATCTAGCGCACCATTTGACTTCCTGTGACTCTGGTGGTTTTATTTCAGGGGGCGCTCTCTGTGGCCAAAATCACCAGCTCCTGGATCCCCCCCTTTTAGCTGGGGGAGCAGGCTGCTTGGTCTCAACTGAAAACGAGGATCATTATCCCCAGTATTTAAAAAGGCAGTCAGTGATTCTCCCATTGGCTCACCATGATCAAAAGATAAAGGTTGTAGTAAATACTTGATCTATAATTTTCGTTTCTGTACCTTGAAGTTTGAACTGAATAAAAGGTGAGTAGAGACATACCTGTCGGCATCAGGGGCAGGTGGGGGGGGGGTTGGTATAGCTGCTGAGGAGAACGTCTACACTAAAAACACAGTCACATTATGAACGGTCACATTATGGAAAACAGGCATTTTCATAATGTTAAGCAAACGCATGCAGCTTACAGAAAATGACTCAGTCTTTATTAGTTTCACAGTGTAAACATAAACGCGTCAAGGCACTCGGGCGCAGAGGACAGCGGAACAGATATCAAGGCACTCGGGCGCAGAGGACAGCGGAACAGATATCAAGGCACCCGGGCGCAGAGGACAGCGGAACAGATATCAAGGCACCCGGGCGCAGAGGACAGCGGAACAGATTTCTCCTTTTAAGCAATAAATAAAGTAAGCACTCCTTGGACTGTACCATTACTGTGTAAACATGTGGTTAGCCCCGTTGTGCTTGAGGTATCCAAAACCTTTTCAATACTGATCAAAAAGGCACTGTATCCCAATACAGTATCACCTAGAAAATATCATCACCTATAAAATATACAGATTTCATAGAACACCGGACAGGATATTTTTGCATTTCTGTAGACATGGCCAGACATTCAGTCAACAAACAAAAAAGAACTAAAATAATACAGTGACAATGTAGCAAACGACTCACGCAAAACAAAATGGAAGAAAACATACATCTACGGACCAACTCCAACTGCTTAGCTAGATTTGGCCTCTGCATTATTATTATTAGTATCGTTCATTTGCACGTTGCCTGTCTGTAAAAACAGCACGGACGTAGACATTCAGTCACACAAAAAATACACAATATAACAATATAGTAAATGTGGCAAATTGCTTATCCACTTAATATGTAAAACAAGACACTAAAAAGGAGAAAAAACATTCTACGGACGTGCATCAACGCCAAATGCTTGGCTAGCTAAACTACTGGTTTTATGTATAGAAGTGCTGGTATAGTTAATGAAAGTATTGGACATTATGTCAAATCCCAACAGTAAATAAATCCCATTACTACTACTGTCAGGATTCACTTTATATGTCATCACTATAACAGACGGGAAAATAAATCCATTTAGGTTCATACCAAACCCTTATCCTGTCATTCTGCGATTCTTACTCACATTATTGTTATAGTCTAACCATTGTTAAGTTTACTTTAAAAACTAAGAAAAATTAACTAAAAATAATATTAGCGCCAGCGTAAAATGATGTTGAAACGACATTCTATTGGACCTCCACGTCTGACACGTCCAGCTCTCCATCGGACTTCTCTGGGGTGGCTTCCAGAGAGTCTGGGGCTTCTGACTCTTCTGTTTCACGGGCACTCTCTGTTGGAGTCACCGCCAGCTCCTGGATCTCCTCTTCAGCTGGGGGAGAAGGCGGTTTCTCCTCAACTGAAAAATGACAGGATCAATATATCGTCAGGTTTTTACAGGCATTCAAGTAAGCAAGCAAAATTAGGCACAATGGGATTCTTCCACTGCTCATCGACAAAAACTTGGGTTGGCAGAGACATACCTGCAGCAACGGGGCTCTCATCAGCTTCAGGTGGTGTTGCTACGGGGGATGGTGGGGTTGGAATGGGTTCGTCGGTGGGGATCTTCGCCTCGGCACTGACCTCAGGGAGTCGGGGGGCTTGGGGTCTGGTCTTTCTCGCAGGGTTCAGGAAACAACAATATGCACATCTGAAGGCTGAAACGAGACAAACCACCATGGTCGAAGTGTACTGTCAACTTGTATGATTGGCATATATTTCCATGTAGACAGAGATGAATATGAAGATGAAACCAATGATATTCCAAAAATAATTGCATCATAAAACGCATCCTGATCGATGGGTTACACTTATTTGCATATTCAATCTAGATGCGTTCTTTCTGCTTACAGAGTCCAATGCTGCCAAATGCTAGAGGGCAAATTAAGGTATAGTGTTTGATGGAGACTGACAGAGTCTTACCAATATATTCAAATTCCTCTTTTAATGCCATGCCGTTATGGGTGAGACACTGCTGGCATATGAGGGCATATCTGGAGGAAGAAAATATGTTTGAGAATGCATACATGCAATGAAATCAGCAGAAGATTCATTTTGCTGTTATTATATTTTGCTGAGGATTGAAAAGATGATCATTACAGAAATACATTGCCAGTGTAAAAAAAAAAAAAAAAACACCTGTTGAAATCACATCTTTAGGTGAAAAGAAGGTTCTCTACCTATTCTGAGGGCCATCGCCGACAAGGTATTCAATAACCCGGTCCATGGCGCCTCGATCCCGGGGGAGGACAGGTCTGGCCAGGGGAAGGCCTGGGGAAGGGGGGGGGGGGGGGGGGGGGCGCAGAACACACATGAACATTAGCTGAACATACAGTCTGGTCTCGAATACAAAAAAATCGCACTGAGCCAGAGAAGCTTAAAAAAAAACAGCAAGACCGAAATCTACAGTTAGCTGCAGAGGCCCACTATAAAAATGGATCTCACTTGCAAAGCACGTATACGAGAATCCCTGCTGTGTTGCTGAGTGGTAATTAATATACCCTAACAGGAAGAGTTTCCTACTGCTTATTCATATACCAACATATGGAAACTGTAGTGCCTATCAAAATCGCTTTTCACCAAAAGGGCCTGATATTATCAAGCCATATGAAACATTCGCAAGGTGTGCCCATGACAACCAATTATACCTGGCATTAGGATGACGTTTTCAGTACCAACGCCAGAGAACGAATTCAGGCCTTCCCTGATTAAATCATGGTTCAAATGATCTTGGTTCTTGTATACCTCACAGTTTCCTTTCCAAATGGCAATTACACCATGTTGCTTTTCTCTGGGAGAATGTCTAACTGTTTGCATTTCCTATGACGTGTCCAAGGCCAGACTACATGTCTGCTCCTATTAACATAAAAGTAAACATACATTACTCACTGACGGTGAGCATCATATTTTTGAAACCCTCTTGGTCAAAAGGCTGCATGTGAGAAATCTTTGTCAAATTAAATATTCTTTTTTTTATCATCACCAAATTCACTAACTTCTAATAGCCATAAAAATCACAGGTCAATTTCACATTTATCGACTTAGTTAACCATCATCTCTTCTTTGGAGCAAGCTTGACCTTCGGGTTAGTTTTCCGGCAACCCCTACCATAATGGATTCAAATACTACACTCAATTGGCCATAACTACCACCTGTAAAAAAAACTATAATTCCTGTAAAAAAAATTGAAAACATTCCCCTCCCTGAAGGACTGGTGAGACTAGGAGACAGGGATGGTTACATCACCTTAAGTCGACCACATTATGATGTGGTCCCCGTGTGCAGCCAACTCACCCACTCCTGGAACAGGTGTGCCAGGGGTCATGGGCCTCTTCACCAAGCTCTGCTGAGCAGCCTCAGACAGGATCCTCTCTGGGGGTCCTCCAGGAGCGGCGTGGAGGGGCGGCCCTGCACGGGTGGCCCCTGGGGCCAGAGGAGGACGAGCTGCAGCAGGAGTCACCGCCACCGGGGACCGAGGAGTGACATGGCGCTGACGGAGTTCTAATGGAGGACACCATGCAGGGATAATATTTATCAATGGTAAGCTATGCATGCACATGAAAGGCCTTAAATGAAAATATACAGTGGGGAAAAAAAGTATTTAGTCAGCCACCAATTGTGCAAGTTCTCCCACTTAAAAAGATGAGAGAGGCCTGTAATTTTCATCATAGGTACACGTCAACTATGACAGACAAATCGAGAGAGAAAAAATCCAGAAAATCACATTGTAGGATTTTTTATGAATTTATTTGCAAATTATGGTGGAAAATAAGTAATAAATAAGTTTTTTCCCCACTGTATCTAGGCAACTCCCTTACCTGTGAGGGGGTTGGACTACATTACCCTGGGGAGGTGTTGGACTACATTACCCTGGGGAGGTGTGTTGGACTACATTACCCTGGGGAGGTGTGTTGGACTACATTACCCTGGGGAGGTGTTGGACTACATTACCTTGGGGAGGTTTTGGAGTCATAGGCATTCCATTTGGAAGGGATTCTGGCACCTTCAAATTGGAAACAAGACTAAGACATATACTTTCAAGGTTAATTCAAAGAATTATTAGGCTCATAGGCAGCTGTAATTCTCACCTTTGACTTTGAATCAGGATCAAATCTCTCCAGAATCATTTTAGCAGTTTTATAGGTTTCAGTTTCCATCACCTCTAACAGCTGTTGGAAAAGAGAAGTTCATACTTTCAATGCTGAGGAAATGAAAAGGACAAATTGAAAGTCAGGTTGATTCAGTATTCCATTATGAGTTCTCATCAGTCAAGTGTCATAGTATTGGTCTTCAGAAAACATTGGTCTTCCAGTAAACCCCTTGAGTATGCAGGTTTCTGTTCTATTAGCTGATGTTTGATGGATCTGTTAATTGACTAATGATGTTGATATGACATGTCACCATTCCACATAATTAATTCTGTTAAAATCCAATGACCGTAACGAGACATCAATGATAACCAATGTCGTATCTTCCACATCATTAATCAAATTAAAATAGCAAGTGAACAATCAATTAAGTGATTGGAATAATTAACCGCTTTAACAGGTGGTCCTATGACCGCATATACTGTCATGCATCTGTACAGATGATCAGATCTTTACAATGCCTGGAAAGTCTTCAGCACCACATCAATATGATCCAACTACCCAATATCCTGCACAGAAACAGAATTGTGAACTCCTGTGTTGGGTGTTTGAAGTCAAGAGTTTGATATTCTCAACTAGATGTTTCCTCTTTTTATTTTTTAACCTCAGTTAAGAACAAATATTCTTATTTATAATGACGGCCTACACCGGCCAAACCCGAACAACACTGGGCCAATTGTGAGCCGCCCTCTATGTGACTCCCAATCACGGCCAGGTTGTGATACAGCCTGGAATCGAACCAGGGTCTGTAGTGACGCGCTGAGATGCAGTGCCTCAGGCTGCTGCGCCACTCGGTCTAATGAAACACTACAAGACCAGCTACCTACAAGTCAACTGGCAGCCAGACCCACATTCTACCAACAAAAGTCAACTGGCAGCCAGACCCACATTCTACCAACAAAAGTCAACTGGCGGCCAGACCCACATTCTACCATCAATGCGATGTTAAAGGTTTTCAGAATATTAAAAAAAAGTGGCTATAGCAGGTCTACATGCTTCAACAATAATCCTTCACCTTGTTTTTTTAGAGACTTCATTTCAGGGAAATAGCAAATATTGCTAATTGTTTACACATAATGAGAAGAATAATGACATGCACTACTTCCATAATGGAGTGGGAAAATCCATCAGCTATAATTATTGGAAGTTATTAGACATGACAAGCAATTTCTCAGATTTATTTTCATTCTAGCACTAAACGCTATTCATTTAAGAGACGTTAGCAGAGTGCTTTACCAAGTCAAGTCTTTAGGCCAATTAACGGCTGTCGGCATTGATTTTAGATTATTTATTAGGAGTAGCAATTATCTAAGCAAAGTGCTGTAAAAGCTCAATAATAGCAGAACAGGGCATGAAGACTCCAGCATATCTTAGGTACGCCATCTTGTAATAGTGTTCATCTCAAGAGGTAAAATGTCTCAAAATGGCAGATTAAGTCCACTTAGAAATGAGTTACAGGCTGTAAAATGAGTTACAGGCTGGGGCGGCAGGTAGCTTAGTGGTTAAGAGCGTTGTGCCAGTAACCAAAAGGTCGCTGGTTCTAATCCCCGAACCGACTAGGTGAAAAATCTGTCGATGTGCCCTTGAGCAAGGCACTTAACCCTAATTGCTCCTGTAAGTCGCTCTGGATAAGAGCGTCTGCTAAATGACTAAAATGTAAAATGTAAATGTAAAAAAAGTATACGTTTTTTTATTTTTTTATTAAGTGCTTACATCTCAGCTCTTTCATATGAGTCCTTTGTGAATGATTAGGGGATCCACATTGTCTTCACCCTTATCCAGGTATAAAGGTGGCAGCTATGGTGGATTCTAACGGCTATGGTGGATTCTAATAGCAGTCTAGTCGATGTTCTCCCAATCAAAAGCCAACCGCTGAAAAAGTTAACTTACCATTTTTCGTTTTTGTGATTTGAGGTCCTCCAATTTTTCATCTGAAAAAAAAAAAAAAAAATTGGCTGATTACACCAAATGGAAAGCAGCATGTCATGATGAGGCAGTCTAAATAAAGCTTTAAATCACATACTGTTTCTTTCTGTTCTTCTTTTAAAAAGAGCGATCAGCCCCTTTCGAAGGAGCCATACACTGTGGAAAGAACAATTAGATCAACAGGGGGCTAAGCAACTAACTACAAATAGACACGGCGATCTCTTTCTTGAGAAATATCTATACTTACAATAGTGGAAATACTACGAATGGAAGGGCCAATATGACCTTTCCAATCGTCTGTTCAGGGAGGTACCAGAGATACACAATTATGCTGGCCATCAGGTAGAGAAGAGATGAGTACAGCAGTAGCCTCCACAGCCATAGCTTCAACTGTCTTTGATACAGTTCTCCACATTCCTCACCAGTGTGTATATCCTGTAAATAAAACATTTTCCAAGAATATTATAAATAAAAAAAAGACACATTAAAGATAGCCTAACTCCCGCTCTCTAGAATGACAAAAGAAGTTTCGTATTCCACAATTCTCACTAATAAATGGAACTTTTAGTTAGCCCAACATAACCCTATTGATACATATAATAATACTGTACATTGTGGATAGTAAATAAACAACCAACAAAAAGCCACATCAATTCAATAGCAGAGTTCGATCCTGGAGCAACATCATAGGACTTCTCCACCACCCCCCCCCCCACGGTAAACTTGACAAAAGCCTATTTATTTATTGTCAGGGTGCACCTTTTTATTAAGCGGGGAAGAAAAACACCCTTGGTTCTTCGTGTGATTAACCACACCACCAAAATATCAGTTGGACAGCGTAGCCCTATGCTCTGCTGGTGCTAGGAAACACGCAGCCGTCAGTCTTCAGTGACCTCAAGCTCGAGATGGGCTGCAAAGTGTAACCAGGTCAATCTCTAGAGCGACATCCCAAATTACTCTTGATCAACACCATCTTGAGGACGTGTAGCCTAACAAAAATGTGACACAAAAGCTAAAAAAAAAGCATAAACACGTACCTTATCAATTCCTTCCAAAACCTCTACAGTTGTTGGCTTAGTCTGTCAAAAGAACAAGTTAAATATATCAGAGAATGAAGACTTGCTTTGAGTTCAGTTTTAAGAATGCTGGGTACTTTCCATAGGCTACAACTAGCAGAGTATCGGCCTATTCTCTGGAATTGCAAAAAAGTATATATACAGTGCGTTCAGAAAGTATTCATACCCCTTGACTTATTCCATATTTTGTTGTGTTAGAGCCTGAATTCAAAATCACCATACCCCATAATGAGAAAGTGAAAACATGTTCAGACATTTTTGCTAATTTATTGAACATGAAATACAGAAATCTCTTATTTACATAAGTATTCACAACCCTGAGTCAATACATGTTACAATCACCTTTGGTAGCGATTACAGCTGTAAGTCTTTCTGGGTAAGTCTAAGAGATATTTCAGCTTTTAATTTAATTCGTAAAAAATAAACAAATCTAAAAACATAATTCCAATTTGACATTATAGAGTAGTGCGTGTAGACCAGGGACTAAAAATGTAATAGTTTTTTGCCCTCTCTCAATCTACACACAATACCCCATAATGACAAAGCAAAAACAGGTTCAGAAATGTTTGCAACTGTATTAAAAAATAAAAACGGAAATATCACATTTACATAGGTATTCAGACCCTTTACTCAGTACTTTGTTGAAGCACCTTTGGCAGCGATTACAGCCTCGAGTCTTCTTGGGTATGACGCTACAAGCTTGAGACACCTGTGTTTGGGGAGTTTCTCCCATTCTTCTCTGCAGATCCTCTCAAGCTGTCAGGTTGGATGGGGAGTGTCGCTGCACTGCGATTTTCAAGTCTGTCCAGAGATGTTCGATCGGGTTCAAGTCCGGGCTCTGGCTGGGCCACTCAAGGACATTCAGAGACTTGTCCCGAAGCCACTCCTGTGTTGTCTTGGCTGTGTGCTTAGGGTCGTTGTCCTGTTGGAAGGTGAACCTTCGCCCCCAGTCTGAGGTCCTGAGTGCTCCAGAGCAGGTTTTCATCAAAGATCTCTCTGTACTTTGCTCCATTCATTTTTCCCTCGATCCTGGACTAGTCTCCAAGTCCCTGCTGCTGAAAAACATACCCACAGCATGATGCTGCCACCACACTTCACTGTAGGGATGGTGCCAGGTTTCCTCCAGACGTAATGCTTGGCATTCAGGCCAAAGAGTTCAATCTTGGTTTCATCAGACCAGAAAATCTTGTTTCTCATGGTCTGAGGGTCTTTAGGTGCCTTTTGGCTAACTCCAAGCAGGCTGTCATGTGCTTTTTACTGAGGAGTGGCTTCCGTCTGACCTCTCTACCATAAAGGCCTGATTGGTGGAGTGCTGCATAGAAGGTTGTCCTTCTGGAAGGTTCTCCCATCTCCACAGAGGAACTCTAGAGCTCTGTCAGAGTGACCATCAGGTTCTTGGTCACCTCCCTGACCAAGGCCCTTCTCCCCCGATTATTCAGTTTGGCCGGGCGGCCAGCTCTTGAAAGAGTCTTGGTGGTTCCAAACTTCTTCCATTTAAGAATGATGGAGGCCACTGTGTTCTTGGGGACCTTCAATGCTGCAGAAATGTTTTGGTACCCTTCCCCTGATCTGTGCCTCGACACAATCCTGTCTTGGAGCTCTACGGGCAATTGTGCATATGGAAAATTTGGGGGATATTCAAATCAAATGTTATTTGTCACATACACGTGTTTAGCAGATGTTATTGCAGGTGTAGCGAAATGCTTGTGCTTCTAGCTCAGACAGTGCAGTAATATCTAACAATTTCACAACATATACCCAATACACACAAATCTAGTAAGGAATGGAATTTAAGAATATTCCATAAACATTAAAGTGACTAGTGTTCCATTTCTTCAAGTGGCCAGTGATTTCAATAGGCAGCAGCAGCAGCCTCTAATGTGCTAGTGATGGCTATTTAACAGTCTGGATGGCCTTGAGATAGAAGCTGTTTTTCATTCTCTCGGTCCCAGCTTTGATGCACCTGTACTGACCTCGCCTTCTGGATGATAGCGGGGTGAACAGGCAGTGGCTCATGAAACTAACACTTTACATGTTGCATTTATATATTTGTGTTACATACATACACATACATACAAATATTAATAAATATAATATGCCATTTAGCAGACGCTTTTATCCAAAGCGACTTACAGTCATGCGTGCATACATTTTTGTGTATGGGTGGTCCCGGGGATCGAACCCACTACCTTGGCGTTATAAGCGCCGTGCTCTACCAGCTGAGCTACAGAGGACCACCCTAAATAAATGTTCAGCATTGGTAAAACGTTTTCAGTGTAAACTTAAATGACTAAACCCAGATTTAAAAGTATGTGGAAAAGATAATGGACCTATATTTATTTCGGGATAAGATCTTTGAAAACTAACAAATCACCAAAATAAAAACTATGGGTGGCCCCGGGAATAAAACCCACAACCCTGGCGGTGCAAGGGCCATGCTCCACCAACAACCATACTGGACCTCTAACTGAACATAGGTTATGCAATACATACCCTAAACCGGGATATTATAACCCCCATGTTGAGGTCCGAATAAAGTCAGTGGAAAATCTCTCCACCTGTTGACAAAAGTGGTGTTAGCTAATCTCAGTATACATTACTATTAAAACAAAAGATAAAAAATAAATAAATAAATAGGTCATTTAGCAGACGCTCTTATCCAGAGCGACTTACAGGAGCAATTAGGGTTAAGTGCCTTGCTCAAGGGCACAGACAGATTTTTCACCTAGTCGGCTCGGGGATTAGAACCAGCGACCTTTCGGTTACTGGCACAACACTCTTAACCACTAAGCTACCTGCCACCCACAGATGACCAACCCATTCTTGTGCAAGGAAGTTAGTTTTGATAATACTGCATGTTTGGGTCCAGCTACTGACACTAAATGAGTGTGGGACTCAAGACCATAACCGTAACTACCGCGAAAGCATTATTGATTGACACATGACATAACTACATTAGCTAGCTAACCCCAAAGTGGGTCCCATGATGCATGTTCACCAATTGACTTGGCAAGGATTTAGCTATCAAAACTTATGTCGTTTATGATATGAAAAGGAGCACGCAACAGTTTGATGCGTGTCCACAAAGTCACACTTTGATAATATGGACCGCGTTGGCTTGCTAGCTAAGCCTCCAATACGTTCCTTGAAACAAGATCCACCACTGACTTTTGAACTTCGCTTGACCACAGCGTGTTACTGAGCAAAGGTAGCGTTTGTTAAATTTAATGATCATACTAAAATTGGTTTTACGGTGCCATTCACATTGTGTAGAAAAACAATAAAATGAACACTGTGCCACTGTCTACCAAACGTGTGCATGAAGTAGCTTATAGCTAGCATGAGCGAGCTAAACTTGTTAGCTATCTAGCTGGCTAACTAGCAAACCAACTTTGTTAAATAGCTAACGGTAACTAACTTGGGCTAGTAGGATGGGCAGAAAAGTGTTCAACGTCAAGCGACTGTAAACTTGCAAACCAATTTGACCTTCTTGCAGAAAAAAGGGGCAAACTGACGACTAAATTTAACAACCAAACAGTCGTCTGACAAGTTCTAGCAAGGCTAGCCGGACAACATTCTTTAGTTTCATGCAACTTTACGGTAGAACTCCAGCCACTATCTAGCTAGTCACTTCATCGGAAAAGCGATTCAATATAATGGAACACAAAACAAATCTACTAGCGTTTACAACTCATTTTTAAGCCATTTACCTGGCCAGTATTTCAGTCCGAAGTTCCTCTCAGACAGAAACTCAACTACCTCTATGTTGGTTATATCAGGCAGAAGACGAGGCGGGGCCGTCACGAGTTACCACAGCCACAAAGTCATATACCCCCGCCTATTTCTACAATTTATCTTCTTAAAATGTGATTTTAAACCTAATCTTAACTCTAACCTTTAACCACATTGCTAACCTTATGCCTAACACTGACCTTAAATGAAGACCAAAAAGTGCAGTTCTGTTTTCATGATTTTTTTTACGAAACAGCGACCCACTTTTGACGTCAGAAGCTGCGCATACGTGGAACGTTTGTCCCTAAGCGCAGATCCAGTGTCGGTTTAGTTTTTTCCTCGACTTAGTTTGATATTGGGTTGGAAAATAAAAATGCTGTTCCCAGATCAACCTCTGTCTCCACATAATACCACATATCAGCTCATGACGGTGGTATAAAAAAACATGGCGGGAATGGAAGAGGCGTTCTTTATTACACTTCAGTGGGAGAAGGTTGTCTCGTTCGTTAATTTGTAGCAAACTCGCAATTGCTCCTCCAAACATTGTAACATGTTGCCGTATGAGCATGTTGTACTAAAAGCAAAGTAGTTGGACCCAACGTTGCTGTTATGTTGATAACAACATTGTTACAATCCAACTTG